CAATTTATCTAATTTATCTAATTCTGTACTTTTAATTCAATATTGTTTTAACTATTTGGGATCTTCTCCATCTCCACGTAAAACCTTATTATTAGTTTGTTGATATCCACAGATTTTACCTTGTTGAGATTTTGATTTGAATCTATAAATCAAGGTATTGAGAAGTGACATCTTGAGTTTTTCCATTCATGAATATAGAATATTATCTCCATTTATCTTATCCTTTGATTTCATTCATTCAAGTTTTATAGTTTTTTCATATTGATAGTGTATCTATTTTATTAGATTTATACCTACACATTTCATTTTGGGATCCAATGTAAATTTTTTAGGGTTTTTAATTTCAAATTATGCTTATTCATTGATGATATGTAGGAAAGCAATTGACTTTTGTTTATTAACTTTATATCTGCCAACATTGCTTAAATTGCTAATTGATTACAATGAGTTTTTGTTTTTTTTTTCCTTCAGATTTTCTACATAGTTAATTATGTTATCTGTGAAGGAAAGCATTTTCATTTCTTCCTTTTCAGTCAATTTACCTCATTACTTTTTGTATCTTATTGCATCTCTAGGATTTCTAGTACAATGTGGAAAAGGAATGGTGAGAGGGGAAATTATTTCCTTGTTTCTGATATTAGAAAGAAAGCTTTTAGCTTCACATTTTGGTAAAATTTTCTTTATATTTCTTCTGGTAATATTTGTTGAGCTTCCATGGGTATGAGGGTTTTTTATCTTTCCATCAATATGAGGCCATTATTTCTGTAAATTCTTTTTCTTCTTTTCCCTTTTTCCAGGGACCTAATTATAATTTTATTGGTCTGCTTAAAATTTCCTACAGTTTACTCACATCTTTTTCTTTGTGTATTTCATTTTCAATTATTTCTATTTCTACTTTTATATTCACTTTTTCCTCTGCAATATTTATCTGCTCTTAATTATGTGAAGTTCATTTTTCTTCATAAACCTTGTTTTGTCCTCTGTAGAAATTCAATGTATGTATTCTTATATTTTCTATAATGAGTTTCTCTTTTTTCTTAAACACATAGACTACAGTTTTTCAACATTTCTATTTAATGCCTTCATTTACTTATTATATCATCTATACCATTATTCATTTAATTCAATTAATTGATTTTTGTCATGATTTTTGAGTGTAGTTTTTTAGAAAAGTATAATCAGAAGAGCCTTTAGTTTGTAATAAATTTTTCCCAACTGTGGACACAATACCATTCTTGGGAATCTACTTGATACCCTGTGTATTAAAGGGGTTTTTATACTCTGGCTACTAGAAATACAGCATATTGAAGTCATAGATTGACCTGGGGCCTTGTTTTCCTACCCATTCTGAGTAGTTTCTTTAAAAAACTTGGAAAATTTTCTCACATGGGTACATAATTAATTATTTAGCTAAAAAATAAACGTGGAATTATTTGTAAATCTCCAGAGTTCTCTCTGTATGAAGTGCGTGCTCGCGCTCTCTCTTGCGCTCGCTCGCTCTCTCTCTCTCTCTCTCTCTCTCTCTCTCTCTCTCTCTCTCTTCCTAGAACTCTGCCCTGCAAATTCTAGACATCTGGGTTTCCCTGAAATCCTAAAACCCCACCTCTGAAAGTTGGAGTCTTCCAGGTCAGTCTGAGTTTCTTATGCCTTTTTATGGCTTTGAAACTCTTTCTTTAGGCAGTAAGTTTGAGTAGCTGTAGAGTTCACTTCTTTTGTTCACCCTATCTCAGTAAGCACTGTGTTGCTCTGTTTCTTGTTCAAAGTTTAAAACTCTTATTTTCTATATTTTGTCTTTCTTGTTTGATTAATGTTTTCTCTGTTTTTTTTTTTTTTAATCTTGTCTGGAAGTAACAATCACTCATAGGCCCTTTGGTTTCAAATATATTATTATTTTTTTTCTATTATTATTTTTCAGACAACTTTTTGCACTATGACCTTTCATGCTCTGGAACTCTTAACACTGTATGTAGTTTTGCATAGAGACTCAATTTTATTCCTCACAATGTGAACTGGTTTTCTCTGTACTCTCTGTTGAATAATCTATAGTTTCTGCGTTCATTTGTTGCAACACACTTTAAAATATTGGTTTTTTTTATTTGCATGGAACTCATTTTAAACTTTCTATGCTCTTTTATTGATTTTTGTTGTTTTGCCAATTTCATTCTTCTTTTAGTATTTTATGGCTTTGTATTGGGGTCTCCTGTTTCTTCTTTTTTTAAAAAAAAAACTTTAGGTTTTTTTCTTTTCTTTTCTATTGCTATAGCATTGGTTGGAATATTCTGTACTTTGTTAAATAACAGTGATAATAATGGGCACCCTTGGGTTGTTCATGATCTTAAAGGGGAATCTATAGAATGTCTTTCTGAGTATAATATTTGACCTTTCCTTTTTAATACCTTGAAGGAAGATTCATTGCGGCAGTTGAAAATTATAAAATCAGTTTAAATCTTAAATTGTTCACATTCACTTAACAATAGCAATTACTCATGTCAGCAAATTTTAAATACTAAGAATATGGTTCTACATAGCTTTTGTATTAAAGCAATAAAATGTATAATGTATATTAAAAACATTGAATTCCTCTGGATTTAAAGTGTATCATTCAGGCTGTGGTTATAGCTCAGCCGTCAAGAGCTTGCCTGGTAGGTGTGAGACACAGGGTTAGATTCTCATACCATAAATAAATAAATAAATAAAGAAAGAAAGAAAGAAAGAAAGAAAGAAAGAAAGAAAGAAAGAAAAAATAAAGATCCATTGACAACTAAAAACTTTTTCTTAAAAAGTGTATCATTCAATTATACTGAAATTTATGTTTATCCATGTATTTTTTCCTACAGGAACATTAAGATACAACAGACACTTAACTCAAGTAAAATAAACTTCAAAATATAGTTTTACTGAGGCCTTTTTGAAATTAAGCAGGTTATGTTGTCACTATGAGACCAAATTTTGTCATGTGTAAAATTCAGACTTCAATATCTATCTCAAAGAATATTTATAAACATTAAATGAGCTATGAAAGTAAAATGGCATATGGTGCATTAAATAGAGTAAAAAGCTTCTTTCTTTAGTAGATATTTATTTCTGCTCTGTATTGAGAAATGGGACAATATTGTTATGTGTAATTATGTGATGTATCTAAATATATGTTACATAATTATAATAGCTTTATAACATATTTTATAAAATATCAATAATATCATCATTATTAAAGTATTCACAATTTTCTCTGCTGCAACAAAATTTAACCTTTGAGTAAATACAGATGGATTTACTCAAAATGGATAAAATTAAATACAGATTCTTCATATCTACAATCCATCCAATGATGTATTTGTTAAAGCAGCTTTTGGACTAACCATTTTCTCATCTAAATGGTTAAGATTATATAGAAAAAATAGAGAATATAGAAATTTTTACAGTAATTTAGATTTCAATACATTTTCATACAAATGCATTTAAATAAAATAGTGCAATTTGAATGTTTGAGACCTTTTATAATTTAGATTGTTTTATAAATTTACTTTGCATAATGAGATTGGATGTTAAAAAGGAGAAAATTTAAATAATGTTCAAGATAAAATTTCTATTGATACATTTCAATTTACATGTAACATTAATTGGCTTGTTATATTGTTAAGATATATAAATACAAATAGAATATTCATATATTCAAATAAATGTACATGAAAATTCTATTTAGTTAATCTTAACTTTATAATGGGTTATTTTAAATAATGAAATTCAGGAAGAGTGCAATAAAGATTTGTAATTGAGTGAAAAACAAAAATGTTTGTTAGGACATAAAACATTTACTAACTATGGTAATGAAACATTTTTCATGGTGGGTGAAAGTTTCTTGCTTTGCAAGTGCATGGCTTTGCACATGTACATATTATATCAACTTACAGCTGATCATTTTATGTGGTCTTTGAGTAATTTCCTGGTTATTTTTAAATTTTATTCTTTAATAACCAAGAATAGTCAGATGTTTTCCCAATGAAAAGAGTGTGATTTAGTTACTCCAGAACTGAGCCATTATTTCTGAGCAGTTTATTTAGACTCAGGTGGTAGTGATTTGGGAGTTATTTTGCTTGTATGGGCATTCTATTTAAAAGAATGTGTCAAATCAGGTGGAGTGATGCATCCTGTATGTGGTTCCAGTCACTGAAGTGGAAGGATCACTTGAGCTCAAGAGTTTGAGTTCATATGAGACTTTGTATCAAAAGAAAAAAAAAAAAAAAGAAGTATCAGATTTTTATTTAGGAGTGTCAGTACTCAATGTAAAAACCCACCTTTATTTTGCATTAATAGATTCTAGCAAGTGAGTTTCCAAAAGAAAAGAAAAAAGGTAGGTAATTCACTTGGGAAAATTGTCAGTTCTCCTACAGGTGCATAAGCACTGTGACTAGCAATTTCACACCTGGGATTTATTCAAATGTGCACCAGAAGGCATGTACAAGAACAAGCAAAGTAAGTTAAGATGAAAACAGGGTCCATAGTGGTTTCTTTGGGGGCTGGTGATCAGATTGCTCGTTCTGAATGGTGGTTAGATTGAGTTTAACACATAAGAAGTGTGTAGGGTGAGGGGCGTAGCTCAGTGATAGACTGCTTGCCGCCCCCACCTCCCCACCAAAATAAAAAGTATATGTAAGGTAAGAAAAGAGGATGATAGAAATAAGAGTGAGAAGAGGGTTCAATTCATTTATTTCACCCTTCGTCACTTGTTTGCTTCCTAAATCCAACACTGAGGACTTGCTAACTCAGCTCCCAAATCGTCAGAGACCCACGAACTTCTTGCCTGGGGCTCCTCCCGCTGGGAGGCGGGTAAGAATGGAAGTATATAGGGACTCAATGTGAGAGAAAGGGCTCAGCTTCCTTCCAGATCCGTACAACGGGACCTGCGGAAAGGAGCTGAGTGTGTAAGTGTGGGACGAACACACAGTGGCCGTGGCCCTGCGCGGGCGCTGCTTCTCACAGCTTCAGCGTTGGCAGGCTGGACAGCGCCAGGGTGACTTCTGCTGCTCCTCTTGAACAGTGGGACAGGTGCTTCTAACCCTAGAGTAACAGATCTTTGTTCGCCAAAGGGCTTCTCTCCGCTTGCTATCAGCAAGAACAAGCCACTGCAAGACGGAACAGAGACACCACTGCTTTGCTTGATTTATTTAATTCTGAGCTAGCGGTGGCCAATGTAACCCCTGCCGGAGTGCAGCTCTGGAGCTGTGGACCCACTTCTCCCCAGTCCCTGTGTGCTACGGGGACACCACAGCATGACGGGTTGCTAGCGAGCAGAAAACTTGCCAGAGCGAGAGGGGCATCAGTTAAACCCAAGGAGTGTGCATTGCACTTCACGGGGCACCCGGACGCTTGAAAACTCCAGCAGACTCTCCTGGAAAGGACATCATGCCTCCCAAATCTTTCCCCAACCTCTCCCTGTTCATCGGAGCCAATCAGAGCGATTTCGTTCCCGAAGTGTCAGAAAAAGATTTCCTGCCGGGCTCCGACGGGACCACCGCGGAGTTGGTGGTCCGCTGTGTGATTCCGTCCCTCTACCTGCTCATCATCTCGGTGGGCTTGCTGGGCAACATCATGCTGGTGAAGATCTTCGTCACCAACAGCGCCATGAGGAGCGTCCCCAACATCTTCATCTCTAACTTGGCGGCGGGGGATTTGCTGCTTCTGCTCACCTGCGTCCCCGTGGACGCCTCGCGCTACTTCTTTGATGAGTGGATGTTTGGCAAGGTGGGCTGCAAACTGATCCCGGCCATCCAGCTCACCTCCGTGGGGGTTTCTGTGTTCACGCTCACTGCCCTCAGCGCAGACAGGTAAGACCACAGGTAGCAATGGAGTGTTGGGGAGAAGAGGACATGGTGGTGGGGGGAGCGGGGAAGGAAAGAGGGTGGGGAGGATGCTAGGAAAGGCTGAGAGTGGAGAGGGAGGTAAGGAGGGAGGGAACGAGAAAGAGAGAATGGGGGAAGTAGAGTAAGTGGAGTTAAAAAGGACTGAGATATGAAGCTTGAAAAAAAATTACAAAAAGTTAAGTAAAATAATTTAAAGGACATTACCTTTAATATTGCCTATCCTAGTTCCTCTATTCCTGTACATACTTTGGAAATCTTTATTATCTCTTTCATAGAAAACCTATTGAACACGTGAAAGTGCAACTATTTTGTGGGATCCCTTTGTGTGTGCCTAAACCTTAAAAGTGTACTTTCCTTACTCAGTTGGGAAATACTCTGATATGTTAAGAATGTCTGCTTTAGTATTAGGGATATGTTTTAGATTTCTTTTTCCAAATAAGAAGCATCATTTACACACACAAATTATGTACTATTTATGGAAGTGAAACAATAATAAATGTTCTTCAGACAGATGCTTTTTCCCATTCTTCCTATTTAATATTTGAAGTCAGGTTATTTTATTTTTCACAGATAAAACAATGCTGTAAAATATGTCTTTGATATCCAATATGCTTTTTACATTCTAACAATGTGAAATGTCTATTATTATACCTGGCAGATTAATTGGTTCAACCTCCTCCTTTTCCATGTGTAGGTATTGAAGCTAACGGAATGTAAGTCCACTTGAAAGAATGGGGAGGAAAATTCTAGGCCTCCTAACCCAGAATCCAGTGCTGCTATCCAGAATCATGCCTTTGGGTGTTTTAGCAAGAGGACTAAGTCAGGCAGGGGGCAAACTCTATGATTAGGTGTCATTGCATGGAGCTGTGGTCTAAATTCCCTGAAAAAGGGGGAGGGAGAAGAATTAAGCTATTTAGATAAACATCTTGGATAATTAAGGTGAAATTAACTCTTCTCTTTAATTTACATATTAAATTCTTAATGAAAATGAGTCTGGAACTGAATTTGATGGTATTTGCAATAATACCCTTTTTTTAACTTAGGCATTCACCAACTCTTCGTTGAAGGAAAGATAATATTCAGTGGAAAGCTGAAAGTCATTATTTTTTAAAAAACTGGAAATGATTTACTTAAGTTCATATAGTATATTCTCTAAAACTGTAATCCTGGAGAACTGGGTGACTTTTGTGCAAATGATTTACTTTTATCTTTTAAAAAATTTTCTTTAACTTCCAAAACTAAAATGTGACATTTTAGTTTAGCTGCTCCTCTGTATGGGAACCACTTTAATTAAAAAGTAAAAAAAAAAAAATCTAGTTAATTATTTTAACAAACCAATGATTAGATGTGACACAATTGGAATTACTATTATTATACTTTCTTTTTAGAACATGACAGTAGCAAAAACCAGGGCTTGATTTAATTCCCACAAGTTTTTTCAAATTATTGTCATGGAGGCACACAGGTAAATTTGCTCTGTTTAGGGTTACAAAAATGCAAATCTTCATATAGTTAGTATTTTTTTTTAGTTTTATATGCATATAAGTTACTTTGTGCATATAGCACAGATATTTTAATTATAATGCTAAAGAAAGGTGGGCTACCCTCTACTTGGACCACAATCTACCTTTGTCTATTTTCAACTTGTTCCAAGGAATTTAAGGCAACTTACAAAAAACAAAACAAAACAAAACAAAACAAAACAAAAAAAAAACCCCACAAACAACACATAACAGAAATAAAAGGGAGGAAACCATAAAAAGGGAAATAAAAATGGGTAGGAAAAATAAAAGTTGAAAAATATAAGATGACCCATACTTCACAAAATATGAGTTATAAAATTTTCTGAGTGCTATCTAGTTGCTAACTCAGGAAGGAAAATTTGCTTTTAATAGAAAGAACTCAGTTGTTTTTATATAACCACAGAAATAGGATGAATCATAAATTCTGCACCTAATTCATTGGTTTGTTATCAAGTGAAGGTTGTTATATTTGATTGCTAGAAATTAGATGTCTTTAACACATTGAGCTCAATTACATCCAGCTCTTTTCTCTTTCCTTAGGACCACCATTTCCTGACTTAGGAAGCTGCTGTATGATTCTCACAGTATTTATAGTATTGCTGTGCTTTATATTGCTCTATAGTTTTTGAAGATTATTCATCCACCTTGATCTGAAACCTGTGGGACTATAAATAAGGAGAGCAGGCACACAGCTGGAGTTTATGGCACCTGGGTACTAACCTTGCATCTGTTATGCCCAAATGTTTACCTGGAGAAAGATGATAAAACAGCACAATACCTATGCTCACAAGGCAGTGTACTCCTCAGTTGCAAAATAAGAATAACATGTTCAACATGGAGTAACAGATGCTAAAGGCAGGCATCTGATTCTTCAAATACTGAGCTTCTGCAGGATTTTAACTGCTCTGTGCAGCTGCTAAATGTGCACCCATTGCACTGAACAATTTGTAGGAAGCCTGTGGCAAAGATGCCCATAGCTGTACCCTGTCTTTTTGAAAAATCATCTCTAAACCTGGCTGGTATTCAGAATTACCTGAAAACCTTAATAAATGCAGAATCTCATTTTGTAGACATTGCATTGCTAAATCTGGGGAGAAACTTAATAATACTCTTTATCTTTTCTTTTCCAGTTCTCTAGGTGATTCTGAAGATGGACATATATTAAGCATTGTTAGCCTTCTCTACATTTCTCACCACCATTTCCACTTCTACCTAATACCTAATGACGCCTACTTCATTCTACCACAGTTGGTCTTAATAAGAGATCATCTTTTTATTCAGGCAACATTGTCACTTATTGAGGACGTACTGTGGGCCAGGTATTATATTGTGTACTAGAGATACAGCAGAGAGAAAGTCCTCTCTTCTGTTGCATATAGTTCACCCTTAGACTCTTGTTGGTTTTTTTTCCCTGCCTGATAAATTAAAGTTTGAATAAGAAAAGGAAAAAAAAAAGAAGATAATGTAACTAGAAATATTGTGGAAATGTGGAGATGGAAATTTTGAGGTGTTGTAAGAGATAAAACATAATCCAATTTTGTATTATGATTAAATTTCATTATCTCTTTACATTAAATTTAGACTGTACACAGATAGCAAGATTCACAATAGGAATTGACAAAGAAATCTCTTCATTGATACTTAATACATGAATAGTGATTATGATTTTCTATTTCTATTTTTTTTTATTAATTATTCTCTACTATGCAGTTAGGGATGACATTCTAACACTATTCATAAGGGAAAATGTAAATTTTTACAAACACCTGTTGTGCTAAAGAGTTCAGTGAAACAGTTTTTATAGTGAGAGACATTTTCCCCACATTTTATATGAATATTTCAAGGAAGTATGATAAAGCATGCCCATATTTATATGCAATAGATGGTTTTAGTTTTTACTTTCTATGCTTCTAAAGATGCACATGCAACAGTGGTTGGTATATAATACATTCTTTGATGCTTGTGAGCTGTGTTTCAGTACTAATAATAACACTGTACTGTGTTATTTTCAACTGCAGTTTCTAGTTTTGTAGAATTTGTACTACTGCCCTTTCATTTAAATATGTGTCCTTTAGAGAGGATTCCTGGGTTTGAGCTCCTTATCTCACAAGAAGTAACTCAACATCTTCCCTTTTGAAAAGATTGTCTTACCCTTGTCCCAATCTTGCTTGAAAGCGCCTTGCTTTTCTTAAGTGAATAATTTTGTATCTGTTGCAAACAATCTTATCAGACTGAATGATTTACAGTTTCAATTCTTATTTGAAGTGTCCCAGCATACATTATTCATACCTGCTACGGTATGAATATTTATGTCTTCCCTCAAATTAATTTGATTAAATTCCAACCCTCAAAGTTATAGTGTTGGGTGTGGGGATTGTGGGAGGTGATCAGGTCATGAAAGTAGGGCCCTCATGAAAAAAAAATAGTGCCCTTATATAAATAACTCTAGAAAGACCCTTGTTCCTTCCATCATGTGAAGGAGAATCAAAACGTCACTGTGCATGTACTAGGAAGAGCATTGAATCTGCAAGCATTTTTTTTTTTTTAGACTTGCTGGTCTCCAGAACTATGAAAAACATATCTGTGATGTTCATGAGCTACTCAGTCTAGGGTATTCTGTTATAGTAGCCCCAATTAACTAAGATAGTACTTCTGCAATAGCATGTGCTTACACATTGTGGAGAGAAGTGACAGTTTTCTTCTACTTTATAAATACACAGAGGGAGTTCAGAATGCCATTTGTGATTTTTGATAGTCCAAAAAGAAGGCTTGATCTAATTGAAGAGATCACCTATCTGCCTTTTTAAAATCTTCCTCCACATAAAAATAATTTATAATCTTGTTTTGTACTTGTTTCTTAAATATGAATTATCAATCAATAATTATCTAACTTTTGGGAAGAGATTCCAGCACAAAGAGATAAAACAAACAAAAAGTGGAACTATGCAGGAAGGTAAAGATTAATTTTTTTCTGTTTGAATTTCATAAATAATATAAGAAAATACATGTATAACAGCGATATGACACTATGAAAAAAAGAATGATTTGAAAACAAGAAAGAACTTTTATTTGAACAACCAACAATAAAAAAATTTTAAAAAAAGAACTTTTATAAAACACAAGTATTGTAGTAGAAATAAAAACTTTATGATAAAGGATGAAAACTAAAACTAGTAAAGTATCTTAGAAAGTAAAACCATAAAAAAGGTAGAGATATGCTTGATGAATTGGAAACTGAGAAAGAAGAAGCACTGAAATGCAAGAACTGTGTTTCCAATTATACAGGAAGATGGTAAAGGAACATATAAAAATACTAAATCTAGGTACATGGGAAATTATGCAAATGAAAAAATGAACAAGTATTAAGTCTAGGATAATCAGAAATGCTAATAAGAAAAAACATCCTAATATATGATCTTAGTATAGTACTTTATTCTGAAGTGAACAAATGATTTCATAACAATAATTTTGTATCACCTATATTTAATAAACACCACGCAAATGACTAAATCAGGACATTGGGCTTGGAGTGGGGTAAAGATAATATAAGAGGAAAATCTTGAACTTCCACAAAAAATGTTGAGAACTGATATTATAACTTAATTCAAGAAACAGTATATTGTTTAGAAATAGGACAGTAAAGATATGAAATTTGTTTTAATCCACGAGTGGGATGAAACTGGCATTTCTATTTTTATTTCTAATTTAAAAAATAAAACCTCTGAATGTATTCATCTGATTTAAAAAATAGAAAAATATAGCTCATTCTAATTCTTCTTTTATTTCCTTAAGAATATGCAATTAAGAATAAGGGAAAGTAGCACTTTCTACCATGTTGGAAACCTGGGGAATGTGCACTGTACATGCTACACATAATTCAGTGTGATTGCTATACTGTGGCTCTCCTTTAATTTCTCTGCATTTTGTTTCATATGGGAAGTTCCTCTAGGTTAAAATATGAATTGCACCCTTCCCCATGGAGGGTCTGGAAAGATCACTTGGGTGAGTCAGGACGTGGGAGGGGCTGCTTGGGGGTGATGTTGAAGCTGTGAGCTATTCATCTCTACTGGGGAGTAGAATCTTAACAGACCAGAGAAGGAGACCTAACTGGTTGTCATGAGTCTTGGAATATGCTGACCTTTATGAGCATCAGAAAAATTCAAGTTTAAATAAGGAGAAGGTACACAGAAGTGACATGGTTAGGATCTGCTATTTGTCTGGCTCTTAACAGATGTTTTTTACTTTTTTCCTAATATCTCCCCCACCACCACACATATACACAAAATGAGCAAAGTGTTCTTGTCTCCACTTTACAAATGAAGAAAATTCAGATCTCAAGTGATTTTCCCAAAAGATATCAGAGATGTGATAATAATTCAGATTTGTCTGACTAAAATCACTTTTTACTGCATCTTGTTATCTCCTAGACAGACTGCAACCTAAAATGCTTCTGAATACAAAAATAAATAAATTGAGGCCTGCATACAATTTTGATTTGTTTGCACCATCATTATGTCAATAATGTATGTGAATGACTTTGCTGTAGAAAGTTTTGAACTAAGTTGTGTCCTGGAGTATGAATCCTTTACCACTAGTTATAATTGATGTGTGACCACCAGTAGTACTTTTGGTGGGATGAGAGAGACTTTTAGGAATTGCTGATATGAGCAATAAAGAAAAATTCGAGCTATAAAGAAAATAGTGTTCCATTTTCAATTCTATTTTTTTTTTGTGGTACTATAGATTGAACCCAGGGCCTTGTACATACAAGGCAAGTACTCTATCAACTGAGCTATATCCCCAGCCCTATTTTCAATTCTTATGATTGGATTATAGAAAAAGTTCCAATTTGGATTAGTAGCTAAGATTTATTATTGTCTTTACGAAGAAAGTTGGAGGTCTGAGGCTCAGAAGCTGTAGAATATCAAGGTAGAATATAATTGTATTATACTATGGACATTTAATGTCTTATGGATGTAGCCTGTCTATAGCAATGACAATAATAAAATTTTGAAAATAAAAGAATTTAAACAAGAAAATTCAATAAATGATGATACTCAATGAAAGGTGAGACATGTAGTAGTATGTATAGATGAAGAAAAAATTGTGAAATAGGTAAACAGAAGATAATTCGAGAAATCCCAATTTAAAATGTTTTTTCTCTTTTCTTGTCTTGCATACTCATTATCAGTGGAAAGACTTGAGACAGAAACACCAGGGAACTTAGTTCTTCCATACACTACCAAAGAGCCAGGTAGCAAGAGAAGCACTGGTACCTCTTTCCAAGTGATATTTCCTTCTTTATTTTTTTTTTAAGGAATAATTCGAGATGAATTGTCTTTCTAGGTACAGAGCCATAGTAAACCCCATGGACGTGCAGGCATCGGGGGCTTTGCTGTGGACCTGTGTGAAGGCCGTGGGCATCTGGGTGATCTCCGTGTTGTTGGCAGTTCCTGAAGCTGTATTTTCAGAAGTGGCACGCATTGGCAGCTTGGATAATAGCAGCTTTGCAGCATGTATACCTTACCCTCAGACAGATGAATTACATCCAAAGATTCATTCGGTGCTCATATTTTTGGTCTATTTCCTCATACCACTTACTATTATTAGCATTTATTATTACCACATTGCAAAAACTTTAATTAAAAGTGCACATAATCTTCCTGGAGAGTACAACGAGCATACGAAAAAGCAGGTAAGCTTGGTAGATGTGTGTGCTGGGAATGAGTTGGTCGGAATAAACAACTGCCGTTTGTGTTGTATTTTGTGGCTCTTTGTTCCCTGAATGGTGAGGAGACCATAGGACCTGCACTGGCTTTACCTAGAAGGGATGTTGGTTATCTCTAGTGTGTGTTTGTGTCATAGCCCTGCAAAGGTCTACTGGATCCAGTCTACATGTGTCTGTGACTATGACTTGCATTCCCTACATTAGAAATTAATATCTTTGAAGATTTTTATTTACATACAAATGTTTATGCAGACAGCAACATTATAAAGTCAAAAATTTCACATATTTAATACAAATTTACCTAATTTTTGTCTCTTTCATCATTCTACTAAGGCTGACAAGGGATCTGGGAAGAAGATGAACCAGAAAAGACTATAGGCACTGCCTGGGATATGAGGATAGGGCTTCAGTGGGATGCTGGAATGTGAGGCTCTGATAACATCAGAGCAGCAGAGAGGGAATAAGTATCAATCCAGAGTTGGCTGAAAATACTGGTCTAATGCAAATATATAAACTTCCCTAAAAATTACATACTATTTAAAAAATTATAATATGTGTCTATATGCTTTTCTTTTCTTAAAGAATATGCAGTATTAATTTCAGGTAAAACTGTGTTGACTCACAAAGAGATACAAATTGTGTTCTTGTGGGAAAGTCTTTAGTAGCACATTTGTATAATTCTGGAAAAGACCTTCTAAATGATGTTGTTATTACAGGGGAGTATGGTTCCCAATCTGAGGGCAAACAAATTTTTTAAAAAATATTTATTTTTAGTTGTAGTTGAACACAATATCTTTATTTTATTTATTTATTTTTATGTGGTCCTGAGGATTGAACCCGGGCCATGCACATGCTAGGCGAGTGCTCTACCACTGAGCCACAACCTCAGTCCGAGGGCAAACAAATTTAATCTGAGATTATTAAAATTACTGGGATGTAGATAGAATAGTAGACTGGATCCTCTGGAACCTTTGTTAAAATTAAAAAAAAAATAGTTGTCAATAGATCTTTATTTAATTTATATGTGGTGCTGAGAATCAAACCCAGTGCCTCACATGTGCTAAGCAAGGACTCTACCACTGAGCCACAATTGCAGTCCCCTCTGACACATTTAACAACAGCAAAAACTGGTAAAAATTTCTTGAGTGGAAGGTAACCACTATTAACTGATAACCATCAACACTGAAGAGCCACATCTGCTCTAAAAATTTTAAAAAGTCAATCAGTCTTTAAAGATAGTATTAGGTAAATTAACAGATTTGGATTCTACGTATCTGGCATCACTGAGGCAAAATGTCCAGCTCATAGGCTCATCGAACATTTTACTTCTGTAATGTGATTTCTATCTCAAATTGGACATTTGTGTTTTGGGTTTTGATTTCTAAAGATGAGTTCTTCTCATACAACATCATCCCGTACCTTTTTTTGTTGTTGTTGTTAATGGATTTTAAATCTTTTTTTTAGTTGTAGATGGATACAATACCTTTATTTTGTTTATTTATTTTTTTATGTGGTGCTGAGGATCGAACCCAGTGCCTCAAACAAGTTAGACAAGCACTGTACCACTGAGCCACAACCCTAGCCCCAATGGTTTTTTGTTCTACCTTGTCTTTGTGAATTTGCCTATTGGCATCCATAAACTCTGGCAGAGGTAACTGGGTCATCTGCCAAGAAGTCATCTCAAGGCCCCCAGCCTACTATACTCTAAATCTCCTGGTATAGATTGCCATGGAATTCTGGTACCCATATTCCACCTGCTGGGAAGGACACTGCTGGATAACCTAGATTTCACATTGGACATTGCTGAGTCATCTAAATTAGGCTATGGGGATACATCTGGACCACTCATGTTGCTTCCCAAGGTCAGCTCTGTTTTAATCCTAAAACTTTTCAGTCTTCTCTGGAATATTCCAGTTGATGAAGAATAGTTCTACCTAAAAAAACGTGAGGTCTACCATCATTGTCTTTTGATAAGTTATGTTTCCCCATTGTACTGATTTATATAAATATTCAGGCAAAATGGACAAATATCTGTTCAAACTTGGACTTTTGATGTTAGATATAATCCATGATTATTTAAACATATCAAAATAAACTCTACTGTCATGTATAACTAAACAGAACAAATAAAAATACTAATGTTTGGTATCTGAATTTTGTCTAGTTTCACATCTCTAAAGATATTCTTATAAAACAGTGTATATAACATAAATTTGATGAAAAAAATGTATTTTCATTTGTAAAAGTGATCTAACAGTAATGTTTACAGTGTTCCAGATGCTTTGATTTATGTGAGTTAGGAGTTTAAATTTCAAGTTCCTTTTCTTTTTTTTGTGTAGTCAGACTTTAAAAAAATCCTTTTTCATATATCATTTTTTTCCTAAAATGCCCAGATTTTAAAAGAATATCTAAACTTGAATATATTCCTTGTATTCTTTAATTTAGTGTACTTAATACAAACAGAAACGACATACTTATACTGAACACAATGAAAATTTAAGCCAAGGAAAGTAGTTGGAAAATAAGAATGTTTTCAGATCACAGTTTTAACATGAACACGTAGCCATTTGAATAATTTACCATTACCAATTAAATAATAATTTACCTTCTAGTCTTATGTAAACTCAATGAAAATAGTGTAGTGATCAAAATGGACTTTACCAAGCTGTTAAAATAATAATTTTGTTGGAAAAAATACATGTTTTATGTTTATGGAGGTATTGTCATGCTATCATAAGCTTCACTCTTCTTGTGTAAATTTTTAATGTGACAACTCTGTTTTCATTTTAACCAATGGGACTATTTCCTTCTGCTTTTACAGATGGAAACACGGAAACGCCTGGCTAAAATTGTGCTGGTCTTTGTGGGATGCTTTGTCTTCTGTTGGTTTCCAAATCACATTCTCTACCTGTACCGGTCTTTCAACTATAAGGAGATTGACCCATCTCTAGGTCACATGATTGTCACCTTAGTTGCCCGAGTGCTGAGTTTTTGTAATTCCTGTGTCAATCCATTTGCCCTTTATCTCCTCAGTGAAAGCTTCAGGAAGCATTTTAATAGCCAGCTGTGTTGTGGGAGGAAGTCCTATCCAGAGAGAAACACCAGCTACCTCCTTAGCTCTTCAGCTGTACGTATGACATCTCTGAAAAGCAATGCAAAGAACGTGATGACCAATTCTGCGCTACTAAATGGGCACAGTGTGAAGCAGGAAATGGCACTGTGATTATGGCCATTCCACTCACTTCTTCAGAAGAATTTTCTAACTTTCCTGTTCCTATTGAGCAGAGAAGAACTCTTAAGTAATTTCTCCATTCTCAGTTAATTCGTTAGACATTTTAATGATCGACTCAGAAAAGGCAAGAAACAGTTTACTCCGAATGAAACTTTAAATTGCATTACAGACACCCATATGCTACACACGTATCTCATATTAAAAGTGATTCAAAAACCAATTTAATATGTGTATAGATGAAAATTGCTTCAGGATTTAGGCTGTGGCTAGAGCCAACTCTAGCATATTTAACTTAAATTTGTTTTCTCTTGAAGCATAAAATAAATTACTATATTGAGTCAATGATTCAACAGGGGGAATATTGAATTCCTATTATTAGGAATACAAGTTATATTTTCCTGGTGAGTACATTTTATTCATAACTAGTACACACATGTGCACACACACATACATATTAGTAAAATAATGGAAAATAAAAAAGTGGAGCTTAATCACAAATCAATGTTTATTGTGATTCCTTGTGTGATAAATCATAGCTTATAAAAGTAGCCTATATCTGTAACTTCTAGGAATGTAATGTGAAGGTATGATGACATTTGCATTATGAATTATAAATAGGTGTCATAACAGTATGGTTTACCTTATGAATGTTAAATTGGTTTCATGTGCCCCAGATTGTAAAATTATGACTCAGAAATTTGCATGTCTTTGTATACACTGCTAAATTCTTGACAGTTCTGTTGATTCTGTGTAAATGTGATAAGATTTGTGTAATTCTAGTGAGTTCTCATCCTCCTTGGCAATAGCCAGTTGACAAGTATGTGAAATCTCACTTAAGCAATTTTTCTATGCATGATATCACAGTTTTCTCTGAATGAATATCTTGATTTTTTTTTCAGTAAAATGAAAACATGATCTCAATAAAATCCTAAAAGCTAGCCCCTTCTTAAGCATGTATCAATAAACTTAATATTTGAAACAATGTATTTCATACTATTGCTTTTTCCCAGTTTGCTGAGATAACTGTTTAAATATTTATATTTAAGCTCTTCTTTAAATACTGCTAATCCATTCCATTTAACATATGAAATTTTCAATTGCATATAGCAATTGGAAAAATAAACACAAGAAAATTGCCTATGCTATTTGATGCCAATTAGGACAACAAGCACAAATAAAATATTTTCTGTGTTATAGGAATACTCCCAAAGATATACATGTATTATTTAACTCAGTCCTCAATATAATCACTGAGGTGAAAAAGACTAGGATCCAGTTTTGGCAGGGTATAAACTTATCCAATTTGGGAGCATCTTTTTTGTTTTTCAAAAAAGTATACAGTTTTGCAAATTAGATTAAAACATCTGGTGTTGTGAACACTTTATCAGGATCCCATTAGGCTTCATTAACTACATGGTACATTCACCTCTGAAGTAGGTCTTTTTACTATCTTTACTTTATACATTAAGAAATTGAAGCCCAGAGATATTAAATAACTTGAAGAAGATTAATCAGCCATGTGGAAGTGCTGGCTATTACAGCAGATACCATGGCGTGATGTGTGCATCTCACTATTCCACTGCCACTAACCTGTGGCTTCCCATTACCTTGAAGAGTTGTTCTTCATCTGTAGACAAACTGTAGATCCTCCCATCATAAAGTCACACAAATAGCATTCACAGGATTTACATTGATTTTTAAATCTTCCAAGGACCATCCATTGAAACCTAAGGAGTCAGAGCCTCAGAGTAAAAATGTTGCTCAATGCAGAACTTTTCTTCTGGATGGTGTAAGATGATGGTACATACAGATGGAAATCTCAAGATACATAAGCATATATCTTGAATAGTCCTCCTAGTTTAATACACACACACACACACACACACACACACATATATATATATATATATATATATATATATATAGTGTATACAGATGAAAACACTACAATATAGATGAACACATATCTTTCAAGATAAATATGTATATGAAACTATATATTTATATATGAAACTAAGGTATATGTGTGTATATTAATCGTAAATTCCTAATAATTTAGTTTAAAAGAATAATGTTGTTATATAACCTAAAAATCAAATTTGTTTCACAAGAATAAAAAACAATTGTTTATAAAATATTTTAGAAAATTTTGACTTAACACCTATTTTATTAAAAATATTTTTCTGTAATGACAAATGATTGAAATGGCACCACAAGTTTCTATTTTTCTGTTTTTAGAAAGAATAATCTTAACAATAGTCACATATCAGAGCATATAATATTATCAATTTTTGTCTGCTTATAAAATTTTCCTTCTGGCTGTTTTAAGTAGATATTGAAAGTCAGAGTTTCTTTTAGTGTTAATCCTGCTTTCTAGAGACTCAGTCAATACTCTTACAACTCTGCAAATTAAGCAGGTTAAAGATTATCTGTGGAGACTCTTTTTAAAATTTGACTATTGCACCTTACTGTTGGGTTATAATGTTAATCCACTCACTTCCTGTTAGGATTTCTTATTTTCAAAAAGTTCTGTGAATTGGGCTGGGGATGTGGCTCAAGCGGTAGTGCTCTCGCCTGGCATGCGTTCGGCCCGGGTTCAATCCTCAGCACGACATACAAAACAAAGATGTTGTGTCCGCTGAGAAGTAAAAAAATAAATATTAAAAAAAAAATTCTTTCTCTCTCTCTCTCTCTAAAAAAAAAAGTTCTGTGAATCACATCATTATCTCAAATATGCCCTTTCTTTGGAATAGAGTCCTGAGAATTACTACACTGCAATATATTTTCTGATGCATAATCACATTTATCTCTCTTTCTCAGCATAAAGTATATTTTATATAGATATACACAAAATATATTTTATGATGAAAATGAGTCTTTAATTGTTGCAATTATCTTACACTTTCCAAGTCAAACAAAACTTCAGGCTTTAAATATCCACATTCATTCCACACACAAGATTGGGATCATATTAAAATTACAGTTTGTACTTTGGCATTTATTGGGTTTCACATGTTTAAATCATACATGTCTGTTTTACATATTTACTTGTAGAAATATTTTTATAAGATGGTCAGACATATGATTTTTTTTTCCATTTTACAATTGTTCAAAAGTGATATGCATTCCGTAGAAACTGCACTTTAGATTTTTAGTCATGATCCTCTCCTGAGTTGTTTAGTTATGGTACAATACTCTTGTGAAGCTGGGCAGCTGCAGTGGGCCACTAAGTCTTGATTATGAGGGTAAACAGCTGATTTTGTAATCTATAGGGAGTTATACTAAAAAAGTGTGAGATAATCAATACTTTATTATAACATAGGCCTTCTATTTAATGATTTTGCCTCATTTTAGGTTAATATAAGTGTCCTGAGCTTAGTGTAGGTAAGTCTAAAATATGATGTTTGGTTGGTTAGGTGTCTTAAATTCATTGATAACTTGTGATATTTTCAATTTACAATGGGTTTATCAATTTTTTGGGGGGTTGGTAACTGTATTGTAGATTGAGATTATCTATATTTGTTTGTGAACATTTGAAGATTTCATGCCGCAGCCCGGTTGGCTGGGCAAAATAACCAGGGGGTGACGAGCAACTTGTGTACGTTGATACAGCAGGAGTAGGAGCCATTTATTGTAGGACAACAGAGGTATTTATACATTCCACACAGCTTATCTTAATTAACATAAACTAGATACAGCAGTCAACCAATAAGAAATCTCCACACTTAATGGCTCCCTGGCCTGGCGTTACTTCACAAACCACTCCCTCTGCAAAATGCCAGGCGCCATCTTGACTTGTTTATAGACTCTAACAATTTCACTGCTCTTCCTATTGTTTGTTTTTCTTTTCTTTTTTCTTTCTTTCTTTCTTTTTCTTTTTTTGGTACTGAGGATTGAACTCAGGGGCACTCTACTACTGACCTACATTTCCAACCATTTTTTTTTTTAATTATTTTGAGACAGGATCTCGCTAAGTTGCTTAGGAACACACTAAGTTATTGAGGCTGGCCTTGAACTTGCAATTCTCCTGCCTCAGCCTTCAGAGTTGCTGGGGTTACATTACAGACATGTGCTACCACCTCAGGCTACTCTGGTTGAAATGTGTGCCCCAAAGTTTATGTGTTTAAAATTTAATCCCCAATGCAAAAATGTTGAGAGATTGGACTTTCAGTATGTTATTAGGACACGAAGGCTCTGCCCTGAAGAATAGATTCATGTGCCACAATCAAGGGAATAGATTCAGTATTGCAAAAATAGCAAGCATGTAAAGGATAAGTTTGTCTTCTCTCCCTTTCTCTCATGCACACTCTTTGTGATGTATTCTGCCATGTTATAATGCAGGAAGAAGGCTCTTGCCAGATGTGGTCCCTTAGACTTGAACTTCCCACCCATTTTAGTTAGCTTTTTCACTGGAAAGACCCAACCAGAACTGAAGTAGGACAGAAGAAGCTGGACACCTGAGGAATTTTCAGGAAGCAGGGTTATTGACTTCAGGATTCACAGGTGGTTCTTGCCTAAGATTCTCTGAACAAAGGTTTTGAAAATTCTTTGAATTTTATTCTCAGCAGAGGTGGTGGTGGCAGAGGGCACTTGGAGGTTCACATGGCAGGTGCTTTCTGTTCCATCTCTCCTCTAGACCAGACACTGCTTTCACAAGATTTTACCAAGAAAAGAGAGGTAATATCTTTTTGTACAACAAGCTTTCGGACTAACTCTGTCACACCTTTTGTGTGCAAACCTGGTATGTACAAGAAAGAGGAAACTAACAACCACCACAATAACCTCTGTAGACACCCTGCTGATCTGACAAGAGGAGAAGCTTAATTATGGCAAGAGTCTTTTGGGTGGGGGTACCTAGTATGCTTCAGAATGATTGTAGAGGAGGAAAAGTTTATTTGGGGGCTCATGGTTTCAAAGGCCTCAGTCCTTAGATAGCCCGCTCCATTCCTCTGGGCTCAAGATGAGGCTGAACATCATGGTGGGAGAGTGTGGTGTTGGGAAGCAGTTCACATGATGATCAGTAAGTAGACACACACACACACACACACACACACACACACAGAGAGAGAGATCTCCACTTGCCAAATACAAATATATGTATTTGTATATACTTGCCCCACCAAAGCCCAACTTCCTCCAGTGATACTCTACTTGCCTTCATTTCCCACTCAATTAATAACATCATGTGATTAGTTCATTGATTGGGTTAAGGCTTTCATAACTCAATAATTTCTTCTCTGAAACTTTTTGCATTATCTCACATGTGAGCTTTTAGAGGACACCTCACATCCAAACCACAGCACCTGCCTCCAGAACTGTGAGCCAAATAAACCTCTATTGCTTAATCATGTCGTTCCTTACAGCCGTATTCTGTTACAGCAGCAGAAAGCAACCTAAGATGGTTCTTGCTACCAAACATTGATGTTAAAATAAATTAATTCCAAATTTATCTATGAAATGCACACCACAGAAGTAAACCAATTGAGTAATGCATATAAGAAGTAAAATAAAAATGCTAAACTCTAAATCTGTTGAAATGAGCATAGATTAATACATGGCTTGCAATAGACCCATACAAAGGTAATCTATTACTGATTTATGCAATTTCATCTAGTAGTATCATAATTCAAGGAAATATTTCTGAAAAATGTGTTCATTGGGGCAATATCTGCCATAATGAAGAGAAATTTCATCAAATTCTTATATTTATATTCATGTAGAATATATCCTTTTGTGTGAATCTCTTCCTTTGAACAAGGAATTGTTCAAAAAAATACAAAAAGAGAATTCTTTGACTGCTTGAAACCACAGACTATTCCCCCTCAATTGTGTTATTTGTAAAGTGGGTTAACAACATTATAAGGGTTAAGTTATGTCATGAGTGTAAACTGTTCACTCAGTGCTTTGCATAATTTTCAGTGTTCAGTGAAGGTA